TATTTCAAGAAAATGTATTTGCAGGGTAACCCCATTTTTATGCACTTTCACGTGCGCCACATTCCTACATGCTTTCTTCAGGAGTTTCCATTAAACAAAATGGACGATCAGTATTATAGTTGCGCAACATCTTTAGCGCACGCAAACGACATCTCCCGACCCCCAGACACAGACACACATGTGTCGACGCGTATATGGGCGTGAATAAACACTATCTAGAGAATACAGATAAAACTTGGAGGACGCGTAAGCTCCGCCTTTAAGAGTGGAAAGCGATAACGTTATCGTGCCCCGTTCGCATCGCCTTTTCATTCGCCGTGCAAGCGTGCCTTGCGTGGCCTAGACAGTAGCGTGTCTGGCCAACACCACCTGGATAAGCAGAAGGCATCCTTACCGTCATCAAAGTCAGATCGATCGAGGCCTAAGATTGGACACGACTGCTGCGTCAGTGTTCGGCCGGGGCTCGGGTTCAATCAGAGCGTCGAAGGTCGGGCTCAAGCCCAGTAGCCGAGTTAGCGCGATTCAACTGTGATGACGTTTCATGAAGGGAGAGGAGGCGATACGGAGGCTTTGCTTATTATAGGTGGTGTTGGTCTTGCTCGCAACCGAAGGGTTGTGAATTCGAATCCCGCCGAAATTCTTCAAATGTTTCTGCAATGCAGATTTACGCTATAAAGTAAAATCATTTGAGACATCCGGCGACCTTTAATTTCCATTACGTGTCATGTTTTAATCCCTTTCATTTCACGCGTGACGTCACGTTTCACTTGAGCGTGGTGGGTTGTTTGAAATTCCCGCGCAAGGTCATGTGGTTGTGACGTCATGACCATATCGACCAATCAGGATTTTACCGTCACGTCACCGATGCTGTCTTTTGAGCCACACGAGCCAACACCACCTAGACAGAAGGCCTCGGCATGGTCCCCTCTCCCTTCATGAAACGTCATCAGAGTCGGATCCCGCTAGCTCGGCTATTGGGCCCGAGCCCGACCTTCGACGCACTGATTGGACACGAGCCCTAGCCGAACACTCCCACAACACTCGTGCCCTATCCCACGCCTCGATCGATCTGACTGTGATGACGCGTGCGGAGGCCTTATATCTAGGTGGTGTTGCATGAGCCCCTTAACACTATCGTGTTTATATATCTTTTTTTTTTCTCTGGTTCAGCAAGATCGCACTGCGAACGTGAGCTAATGGAAGAGCTGAGGATGCTTTACAAATAAGGTGGTGAACTGGGCCAGTTGGTTGACGTTATACATGATGGGGAAAACAGCTCAGAAAACATGGACCAGGAAGAAGAACATGCACGACAGGCCAATGATGTACTCGGAACTGAAGAATTTTAATGAAGGAAAAAGAAAACAGAAACAAAAATCAGACGTTTACAATCCCCTGAAACGCCGAATTAGAGCGCAGCTCTTGAGGAGGAGGGGATGGTACGGAGAGGAGGCTATGCCCCTCTTCTTCATCAGTACCCTCTCCTCCTCCTCTCCTGCTTCCCTCCCATTCAGCTGGAAATTTTTGCTATATTTCCCACTAAAGTTATTGGAAAACAATTGCCTGCTAAATGAAGCTGGGGTATTTTTTCGCTAAATTTAATGGGAAAATTTTTCCTGTTAAAGTTAGTGGGAAATTTTTTCGCTAAATTATGCGGGAATTTTTTCGCTAAATTTATCGGGGAATGTTTTACGCTAAATATAGCGGGAAACTTTTCCAGCTAAATTTTGCTGGAACATTTTCCGTTAAAGTTAGCGGGGAAGTTTTTGTGCTAAATTTAGCGAGAAATTTTTTCCGCTAAATTTAGTGGGGTAATTTTTTTGCTAATTTTAGTGGAAAAGTTTTTCTGCAAAATTTTTTCCGCTAAATTTAGCAAAAAAATTTTCTCCACCCTCGAATTTTTTTTGCTAAATTTAGCGGGACACTTTTTCCGCTAGCTTTAACGGGGAAATTTTTTGTGATAAATTTAGCGGGGAAATTTCTGCTACATTTAACGGAGAAATTTTTCTGCTAAATTTAGCTGGAATTTTTTCCGCAGAATTTAGCGGGCGAATTTTTTTTAGCAAAATCTAGACGGCAAATTTTTCTGCTAAATTTAGCCGGGGATATCTTCCGCTAAACTTTGCAGGAACATTTTTCACAAAAATCTTGCGGAAAAATTTTTCCACGAAATTTGGTGGGGAAATTTACCCATAATTCAACGTGCGGTGACGTCACGAGTGACGTCATTACGGGAAACGTCCCGTAATGCAACACGCGATGACGCCGACGGCGACGACGCTGAAGCCGGAAACGGGTGCCTAAAAGCTGCTCCCTAAAAAAAACATACATAGTGTCTTAAAAGGTTGCATACAAAGGACCACCCTCGCAAACCGTGAAGCGTGTCAGTAATTTACTTTTCTACCCGTTCACTACGTGACTCCTTTTTCCCCGCAGGAAAGATATCTCTTTTGCTGACAGCACCAATGAAGGTTCACTAACACATGAGTGACCATGACACGAAATGTGGAAGGCCTTTTTATTCTCTCTCGTCACCCTATCGTTGTGTGCTCCCGGAACGGTGACCCTGCCAAAGAGAAGGCGAAGCCGGAAAGGGCAAATAAGCGTGTGGCAGGGGTCCCCTACCTCCACCGCGTTTCCCATGACTTCAAAACAAGTAGGTCGTAGATGTAGAATGCGAGTAGTGTTTTCCGAGCCCCATAAAATAGGCTAGACATGTTCCAATGTTGGTGCGGAGGCAGATGGTCGTTTGAATGTGAAGTGCACCAAGGCCCGCAGAAAAACCACCTTGTCACTTGTGTTTTGTGTGTGGTTTATAAGCATCCTTTTGTCATCTAACCGGTGCTACGTGGGGCAAACAGGAAGATGTTTAAATGATAGATTATGATAACATTCGTATTCGCTCGGAGCCACGGTTGGGGGGGCTTTTGCCAATTTATTCCAGAGAGTGCAAATGTCGGCCTGACTTTGGCAGGGTCTCCGTTCCGGGCGCAGAAAAGCATAGGGCGACGAGAGGGAATAAAAAGGCCTTCCACACTTCGTGTCAGTCATTCATGTGTTTGTGAACCTTCATTGGCGCTGTCAGCAGAAGAGATATCCTTTCTGCGGAAAAAGAAATGAGCCACGTATTGAACGGGCAGATTACTGACACGCTTCACGGTTGGCAAGTGTGGTTCTTCGTTTGTGTGCAATCTTTTAAGATACTATGTATGTTTTTTTTTTTCTGTCTTTGTTTCCTTAATTAAATTTTTTTAGTTGCGAGTACAGCATCGTCCTGTCGTTCGTGTTCTTCGTAGTCTGTGTTTGCTGAGCTGTTTCCCCATCATGTATGCTTTACAAACTCTGTTGCACGTATGCATGCCATTTTCGCCTGTCGTTTGGCGCAATATGATTACGTTTACACAAACTTTAATTACATTCTAAAGGTCTTTCATGTGCGCTTAAAGAAGGAGTGGCCTCAGCGGTTCCATTCGCCTATGTTGATGTACGTCACAATTTAAAAAAAAAGATTACATTAATTCTTCCGATAATAATTCCCGGGGAAGGGGAACATGGAGGACAAAGGACAAACAAAAATCTTGGAGATCTGTGTCTGTGCTTTGTCTTTCTTGTTCCTCTTCTCCATAGATTATAATCGTAATTCTTTTCCAGCGTTTTTTCACCTTTGCATTTTTTGTATCATAATATATTTTCCATTTCGTTCAACCATGTAAATTCTTACGAATTGTCTTTGATATGCACGTTGTAGATGTTAACCGTAATCACGACCATAAATATATGACATCTAAAACAAAAGCCAGTAATCCATATATTATCACACGAATAATACCTGACTCGCGCGTGATTCGGGACACAACTGAAGCCATAGGGCTTCGCGCGCTACAGTTACAGTGTACTAGAATACTTGGGCAGTGTTGGGACTGGAGCGGCTCGGCAATGGGAGCTCGTGAGAGCGCGTGTATTGACAGTTCGTGGCGGCGCTGTAATCAAATTATCCACAAAAAAAAAAATCGCGCAGTCCGTTTTTCTTTTTTTTACTTTGAGCGGTGCACGTGTCGGTACCACGATTTTATACACTCCGTTTCACCTTATGTTGTACCGCAGCGAATGCTAGAAGCGCGAGCTCATAGCGTTGGCAGCTGCCCTTGGTGCACGAGAGCTTGTGCCGCCGAGGTGTGCCACAGAGCAAGGAGCTCGCGCTTGTAGCCTTTCCTGCGGTACGACTCAAGGTGAAACAGAGTATAGTTCCGTGTGTTTTTCACTTCGAGCGGTGCGCGTGTCGGGACCACGATTTCATAGTTCCGTGTGTTCGACCGTAATATGCTTTGAATCTTGTGTTCTGATTTTGCGGATGGTGAATACGTAAGGATAGTGCCGAAATGCCGTCGCCGGCGCCACACATCAAGACGACTAAAGGCCGGTTCACACATACAGCACTGTAAAAAATGGGCCGTCAAAATTACGGTAAGTTGACTGGCATTCTGGCTGCCAGCAACTTCTCGTAATTTATACGGCAGACCGTAAATTCAAATTTACTGCCTGACCGTAATCTCCCAGTAAATTAAACGGTCGCAGTAAAAAAAGATACCGTTAATTTTACGGGGCGATGCTGAACAGACCGTAAACGAGATTTACTGACTGCCGCTAAGATCACGGCATGGTGGCAGTTTATTTGCCGGTCAACTGACTGCTAATTTAATGGTCACCGTAAAAATGTTGACCGTTTAATTCACTGCCAGTTGGCCATCGTAAGAAGTAAATTGAAGGTGCAAAATGCTGGCACAATGAAGCGCTAGCACTTCGTACAACACGTCAGAAAGTATGCAAAATTCGACATAAGTAAGCATTGTCGAATTCTATCATCTTCCCACCGCATTGTGCGACATGCTTAGCATTTCACCGCACATGTTTTGCTGCTTCGATTTACTTCCTACTACTGGTCAACAGACAATGAATCAAACAATGGGTCATGAAGTCTCCTTATGTTAGCCATTTTGTGCCTGTAATATATGTGGCATGCTGTTTATTGTAATTGTAGCGTGGTCTTCATGTCTGCAATGCGATCGTTGTGTATGTACAGGCAAATGCAATTAAGCCAGAACACAGCATAAATTATGTGTAGGATAGAAATAAAAACAGAACATTTATTTACTTGGATGATGAGGACCCAGGTCCATATACCCTGATCTGGAAAAGAAAGAAACCAGTCATCAATATAACATATATAAATGTGCCAAAATAGCAGCAATTTAACAGATATGTTGTATAATGTTAGCCACGTTTTATTCACTGTGCAAAGAAACTAATGATGCTGATATTGCTTACAATGTATGAAAGAAGCTTTATGTGACAACTGAACCCCCCCATCCTCTAGCTTAGCTTCTCCTAATCAAGTCAAACTTCATTATATCTCAGTAGCTATATATTAGCCATGCAGTACATGTATTCTGGTTTTCTCGAATACCATATCAGTATCCCAGCACAGCCCCTATATACCTGGGCAAATGAATGAGAGGATATGCACAAAGTTTGGCAGAGAATGCTGCACAAAAATACAGCTATTTTATGGGAAAGCCTACTATTCACTTACTAGACAGACATTTGTCAACTTAAGAGCTGAGTGAGTTTGTTTTCAAAATCAGGGGTTGACATTAATTAAGCAGCACACATAGAAATTTACTCCTCCTTTTCATCTAGTCAAGCTGGTTGACTGTTGTTGGCACTAACGTAGAACTAGTCTTTCCCCACCCCCAGAGACTGCAATTCTCTTGCCACCGTGCACTAATGAAAAGGCACCATTAATCTTTCTCTGACATGTTCACACCATAAGAGATATGAATAGTCGTGGCCGGTTGCATCAGGGCGAGCTGCGAAAGTCAGGCTTAGCTGGCAGTAGAATCTCTGTGCACTGTGCCTAGTGTCACTTCAGATAAACAAATGGTTAAAGCAGTGTGCTCAGCACTTCAATTTGAGATGATATACAAAATAAACATGGACAGCTTGTGATGCAGCTACCACTTACATGCTTCTCATTTTATCGACCTATATTTGCCATGTATAAGATGCACTATAAGATGCATGAAATGATGCACAGCAATGGCATCATTTCTCTTAAAATATATGACTGCATGCTAATCATGTCTCATTTCTAGCATCACATAGACATTTTTTCATGTAATTATAGGCAGCGTAGTAAAGCTATGCTTGAGTTAAGTGAGGCTAGGTAAGTTATGTTTCAACCCAATAGTGTTAATGCAGCAAAAGAACCGGCGTCCAGCGTCGGCATGTCGAGAAAACCCCTCGATGTTTTGCGCCACGATCCCTTGTGCATGCAAGGGATCATAGGATTCCCCCTCCCCACTGCTGCCCTCCCTGCCCTTGCCCCCACCTCCCCTCTCCTCCTCCACCCCCTGCCCTCCCGCTATCGTGTCATACATTAAGGCCGAGCATAAGTGTCCCCCCATTTTTTTTTTTCACACAAGCAGCTGGGTGCTCGATCCTTATCATACTCACCAAATTTAGACCCAAGTGCCATTGCTTATGGCTGCTGAAATCTTCCTGGTGCCAAGACCTTGTGTTGAATGAGCTCGAGCTCCATGTTGCATGCCTCGTTCCCACATAGGATGACCAACCTTCAACAGACATATTCAAACAGAACAGAATGAGTAGAAAACCAGACTGAAAAAATCAAGGAAAGTAACTCCAAGCTAGTGCTGATGTGATGTAAACAAACGGTCAGAGTAATTTCGGAGCACCTTCTGGGCCAGCCAAAAATATATTTTCAAGCAACAAAAGGAAGTTTTGGATTTCGAAAGCACACTTCCTATTCATTCTGTTGTGAATACTACATTAAGATACATCTGTTTGCCTGTCAAAACTAGAAGACAATGCCTGCTTTCCTTTCCCACCCCTGTGTTACCACTAGTGTCAAGTTTAGGGACAAAAATTCTGTAATATAGTTATTCACAACAATTGCATTTAACAAAGATGTTTATGTTTATTCTAACATGTAAATTTAACTAGTAACATATCCGTTCAAGAAATATTACTACTTGATATGTCCACATTGTTATCAACAATACTAACATCTCCATCATTTAATCCATGCACTAAATAATATACATGTTCAAATTTGTGGGCCATGTTAGTGCGTGAACTTTTTAGGAGACCCTGTACTAGCAAACAAATTGGTTTTTGAAATCTTACACCAACTTAGAATTTTCAGATTATCATTTCTCAACTTCCCTGTCTATTCAAAGACATGTGGACCATATGTTTAAATGACAACTTTCCTTCTCAAGCATGAGCCTCTGCTACAGCGAGACGAGATATGCAGAATCAGTGTGAAACCTGTGGGTACCACCTCTTTGTGGTGCACAAGTGTATGGTTAAGAGTGCGCCCAACGGTGGTGGCTAACTAGATTGGACAGATCACACATAGTGCCGAAAATTCCCAAACTTGAAAGCACAGTATCAATTTTACAAAAGTAAAATTTAATAGTATATTGCCCAGAGCAGCAATAAATTTTGATTATTTGCTCAAGCCCACTCTGATGGTTCAGCCATGAAGCAGGGTCTTATTCACTGCTTTCTATAATAATGGGCTGAAGTAATGTGTGGTGAAATGTAGGCATAAGCAGTATCACAACAATGTAAGAAAAAATTTAGGCAAGCTTGATTATGCTCACAAAAGCTATGAAAGGTCAGAATGTGTTGGGCTCATTCAGATGCATGCTGTGTGTGGTTATGTGACCGTCTGACTATGAACGATTCACTATTTGCAGTATGGACAGGTGACCACACACAGATGATGGTTATGTGATCCCATTATTCCCAGAATGGTGACAAGCTGGGTGGGACTCCACGAACAATTATGCACAAAATCAGCGCAAAAGACGAACACAGAAAGAATGAGACAGGACAGAGCACTACTTACAACTGACATTTTATGAGAGGAAAGAGGAAGACAAAGACAACATTGACGCTAATATAACAGGAAGAGAAAAAAAATACAATAAAGAAAAAAGTAAAATCACAAAAAAATGTATCACAAAAAGATAATAAAAAATAATAAGGAAAAGTCTTAAGTGATAAACTAATAAAAATAAAAATAAAATTAAAAATTAAGGAGTCTTTTGCACTAGTTTGGTGTTCTATGTTAATTAACTAGGCCATCAAATTATTTTGGAACAATGGCGACTAGATGCCATGGATCATGGCTAAGTGACCACCATTTATTCACTATTTGCATCTGTCAGTGTGACATGTCAGTCTGTCCAGAGTGTTAGTCACTGGCCTTTGCCATGAAACTCGACTGGCAAAACACATTATTTGTTGAAACCTGACATCCCCTTTTCACAGCATTAAAGAATTCATGCAACTTTACCCAAACGTTTCATAAATTATACACTCATTCGCCAGAATCAATGAAGAACCATTATTGTAAACTACCTCATCACATCCCCTCCCAGACGGGTAACAGTTGCAAAATTGCTTTCAATATTTCACGAACTAACCTTTCAAGGTACCTGTCTACAGCCGGAAATTTTGCTCTAAAATAAGCTGTGTGATATCATTGTTTTGCTATCCAGCAGAGATAATTTGATAAAGGTGCCAACTCACGAGAAGTACTAATCAAGCGCCGAATTCAATTTTTCTTTTTTTTGCAAAAAAACAAAGTGAAAACATTTTTTTTGTAAATCCATCACTGGCAGACAAACACACTATACCAGTGAGTAAGGCTTGTAGTTTGCTAAGACAGTGGTCTGTTACAAAACCTTCAGATACCCTTCGTTAGTGGTAAATGTATCCCTGCACCTATCTATCTCTGAGAATTATTCTTCCTCTCTAGTGACAGTGGACTCTTACACTCATTGAATTGTTTCACCTTCTTCTGCTTCTCTTCAAAATGAGTCTCATGTCCACTTCCCATTTATTAAGTGAACACTGTAGTGAATCATACTTACAGCCTCACACATTCCACTCCAGCTCTGCTATTTTCTTGACCAGGTTAAGTACTTTCTTGCTCACTTCTGACTTGGAGCGCTTGGCTCTGGTGCCACGGTCAGGGTTCATGCTCAGGAAACCTCTGCAATAAGCATCAGTGCCATAAAAGAAACATTTCATCCAAGTTGGTAACCTGAAAAGTTAGTCAATTTAGTCATATGTGTCACATAAGTATACATGACCGAAGGGAGAGACTAGAAGAAAGTAAACTATTTAGTAAAGAGAATATCAGGTGGGTCCAAACTGCGGCTCGTGAGCCGCATGAATCTCTTCATGCCTCCCTATTGCAGCTCTCCTAACCTGAGGACCCACAAGTTATAACAGGTGGGACCAAACACTAAGCTTGTATACAAAAACGTTACAGTGAGAAGCGGGAGCATATCAAAATATGCAATATTGCTGGAGTTGTTTCGTTGTATATGGGCACAATAAAATGACATGTAATGGTCAGAAGGGGCAAATCAGTTTGAAAGATAAGCTCTATTTTTTTATTTTCTTGTTTATTTCACCTTTACAAGCCAGGTTGAGGCAGTGCTAGCTTTGTACTTAAATGTTTCCCTAAAATTGATTTCTGAGCTTTGTTATTACAATCCAGTCCAGCTGCCTGATGAAACACCAAGACCACTGGCCTATGCATACATGCAATTGAAGCTGTTTGATTGACTGCGAGAGCAGATAAGGGTTTTTATTCACCTGCCTCCATCTTGCATGTGCAGTGCCTTGCGGCGAAATGCATGCACTCGATCTGTGGACTCTGCTCGGGTGCAATTTCAATGTAAAGTACAGCATTGGTGCAGGATGTGGGAGCTATAGTTGTTTGGAGCTCGCGGAAACAATTGGGACAGCTCTCCAATCAGCGAGATATGTGCTCTTCTATTTAACAAATGAGAAGGAAGGTACCAACCAGGGCCGTAACTAAGGGGGGGGGGGTTAGGGGGTTCTGACCCCCCCCCCCCCCCCCCCCGACATTTTTTTTCTGGGTACGGCCCTGATGTACCAAACCCCGCAAAGCACTCAAGATATGCGCAGATTTCGTGTTTGTGCCCTCAACCTAAGTACGAATAGAATGGATACGAATTGCAACTGGGGTTTAAAACTTCACGAGAGCGATTGCTCTGAACGTGAAAAATTATTTCGCTGGCAGTCGGTGGTAGGTCGGAGGTCCTCTAGGCTTGGTGGTAGCGGCATGGCGAAGGCAACTAGCGACTTCTCATAAAACACAGGGTCGTCCAGGTGAATCGGCAAAAGTTATGCACCAACTTCTATTCCTCTCCATTACCAGGAATTAAATTCCCGACAGTTTCTTTTCTTTAGGTTACAAGCGATTTGAAAGTATCCTTTTATCACCTTTTTAGCAAAGCGGAGGACCAGCCCCGGTACAGTGCTGGTACATGGTCGGTGCACTTGCAGCCATCCAATTTTAATCTCCACCTCTGCGCACGCGCAGTGGCGCCGGTCGGCTACTGGGTACCAAACCGGGACCGGTTCTCCGGTTTGCTAGAACTCTCCATTATATGCCACCGATGTACATGATTCATAGGCGAAAATAGGACAATAGACATTTTCAAAATGGCCGCCGTTGTCCCCGAACCCCCCCGAAATTTCTTTCTGGGTACGGCCCTGGTACCAACTGTGGGTCCATGTCTTTTATGACACTAAATGTGCAAGGTGTTTGCTTTATTTCAATAGGAACAATAAGCCTGGAAATGATATAGATAAAAAGTATGGAGTCCTACTAGGCATCCACATACATATACCAAAATCACAGAACAGGAAATTACCTCTGAAGGAACTCAAGGGTCGATGACAGGCCTTCAGCGTAGCAGATGTTAAAGCAATAGTGACTCGCAAAGAGTGCGCAGCCTCTGCCGTAGGGACGTCTGGTATCTTCTGAACCATGAGCCTGCCATCAATGCTGAGTGCGTACTCGTGGGCAGTCCACAGATCATCCCCTACAAAAGTTTAAAAAATGAGAAAATAGTAAACATTCAGATAAGTAGAGTAGCTGACAAGGCATTGAAACAATGGGGCTGGGGCTGCACCTCCAGATCGTGGACATTTCAATTAATTGTAAAAACAAAAAGGGAAAAGGGAAGAGGCCCAGCTTCGTCCCTCCCACCCTCACTGCCAGTCTCCCCCCCACATTTAAAACACTTCTAACATTACTTGTTGCCAACAGGAGATGAGATCCTTGGTTCGATTTGCCTTCCCTCCACTATGAGTGAGCTTGTTTGAGTGTAGGCCAGTCAGAATTCTACTCCAGAAAGGGAGAGGATGGGCCGTGAAGGCACCTAGGCAAATGTTCCCTGGTTAGTGGAGGGGAGACATGTGCCACCAAAACTGAACAGGAACCTCGAAGACCCTCTCTCTCCCCAGTTGCACAGGACCACCGCATTCGCATATATAGACGCTGTATCGTTACATCTAGCATATACTTCTATTGGCTGCAAAGAAATCAAATGATTTGTCACTTCTAGCAACTTCGGAAATGTGTGTTGTCGCTATGGGCTATAGGTAGCCATTGTAGATTTCATGAATTGTCTGACATGTGAAACACTTCAAATGATTTGTATTTGATTTAAACTCTGAGACCTGCTTTATATTTAGATATCAGTGTTTTTAGGTTTTTATTGTTCTAGTATTTGACATACTTCTTTTGGCTTTTATTTGGAAATCTATTTATTTATTCGTTTGAAATACTGTGGCCCTGTCGTTCTACACAGGAGGGGAAAAAAACAACACACAGAAATAACTTAATCATGCACTCACCGTGCGAGGCGAGCGCAGGTAGGTTGCAGCAACCCACGCATGCTCAAAAAATAAACATTTCCACATGCAAAATTTAACCAAACAATTCATTCAGCTGTGCTTCAAATAATTGAGGACTACAACAATTGACAACTTGCTCAGGCAGGGTGTTCCACTAAATAATAGTCCGACAAAAGAAAGAGTATTTAAATACATCATTTCTGTACTGGTAGGGTGCAATTGCTTTAGTATTGCTTGTTCTTTTGGAGCGTGAATGTTAAGTTTACGTCACCCGTTAAATCGAGCCGAGGTCCACTCGCGCGCAGTTGACCTTTATGAAACCGTAAGATGTGACATCTGAGCCCTACATAAGTAGTGAACTGCAAACAACAAGTTGCGTGCATACATGGAATCTGCCGCGCTCCGAACTCGTGGCTGTCATAATGTCGCACATATTCGACCAACGCGGTTGACCCCTTTGAACAAACACGGCAAACAAACATGGTTGTTCAAACCGTCGCCTCACTAAAGCGAGAAAAGAGCTAAGACCGACAAATCGCAAAAATGCGCAGTATTAATCTGAAGCTATCTTTGGCTGGCTCCCAATCGCTTGTGCTCCCTTCCCGAAAAGGAGCGCGAACGACGATCGACAGCCGGCCAGCGATGCACTCCGTCAACGCACGTGCTGCCGGTTTGTCGGTGTCGGCTCTTTCTCGATCTTGCCGGCAACGGGCATTAATTTTCTCAGAATCGGATCGTGCTTGCCACATTCATATTCAAAATGATACTCACGTTATGTTCGTTTACTATTGGGCCCGCCAAACGCCTCGGGTACTGCGCCGTCAGCCGTCTTGGTAGCCACGGTCGTGCTCCCTACCGCAAACTTTCCTCGCTTTGTTTTCTTCCTTCGGGAAACAAAAGATGGCGACCCGACAAGGGGAACGGCGCTAACGGCGCGAAAGCAGACAAGGCGGCGAAGGGTGCTAAAGCAAGGCAGCCCGATGGCGAGGGCTGTGGGCGAGGGTCAAGGCGCGAGCCGCGAACTGGAGAGCAGCCCGACGACGCAGGCGCAGAAGGCCCCCAACACACCACGTGCGTGCCGTGCGTGTGTCTGGAGCGTGGTGCGGAGTGTGTAGCGCGCCTCGCTTGGGGCGTTCCGCTTCTTTCCTCCCGTCGCCGTGCCTTCTCTCGTTCCACTTCTTTCCTCCCGTCGCCGTACCCTTTTCACTCGAAAAACATTGTCAACATACCGTATTTTTTTTTACGGTGGGCGCCCCGTGACGTTCACGGTCAGGTGACTGTTTATTTCACGGTCATTTTTTACAGTGAGCGAACCGCTAAGTTAGCGCTACGTGAGCGCTCGAAGGAGCGCTCATGTGGCGCTTCCCAGCGCGTGATGTAGCGCTCGGTTAGCGCTTAAAGGGCAACTTCGGCCAAAACTCAAAATGAAATAAAATACAGGTATCGCTGTAGTGACACAAAATACGACCCCAGCCAAAATTTCACGTCCGTGGGATGCCGCATTCTCAACTAATGCTGATAATAAAAACGCGACCCGCCGCGAGCCGCTGCTCCTTAGCGGGCGGCCAGCGGGTTGCCGATCGCTAAAGCAACATTGGGCCGTGACGTCAACATCGTTCTCTTTTTTTCCTCCGTTGCGGACGGGCGCACGGCGCAGCCGTCGCGCGCGCTTCTTTGTGCCGCTACCACCGCTACTTCGGCTTGTAATTGCGTGTTTAGCCGTTGCTTTTACCTGTAGCCCATGTAGCTTCGGTATAGCCTTTTATTTATTTGCTCGTGAGGACCCCTAGACTCGTTTTAGCACGCAACTCGGTGCGCCCAAGAGTGCCCAGCTGTTCCTCGAAAGATGCCGAGTACAACTTAAAGCGCTGTGGGCTGCTCAAACAAGCCGCTGCGCAACCCGGAGGTGCGTTTTCACAAGTTTCCAACGGATCGGAAATTGGAGAAGTTGTGGGCGAACGCTGTTTGACGAGTGGACTTTGGAAAGCCTTGGACGTCGACCCCCAGATCGAAGCTCTGCTCCGATCATTTTTCGCCGGAGAGTTACGAACGAAACCTACAGGTGTGGGTTGCTTGTGGCTTGTCAGCGAAGGGGTCGAGGCTTAAAAAGGATGCCGTGCAGTCGCTCTTTGCCCATCGTACATGTACAGAAAAGGTAAACGTGATAAAAGTATCCTGATCAATAAATAAAAGAGTCATTGTCAAGTGCAGTGTTGAAGATTGAGCATTCACGCTCCATTGAATGTCTGTTGAGTGGGGAATGGTGGGCATGTAGAGTACAATTACTAACTAACTCCAAACACTGAAGTTTGTACTGAAAACGAAAACAATCTTCTGCTTTCCGTCACTACTTGTTTTCTACGCAATCTCGTGCGTAGTATTCAGGTCCGTTACGGCTACTAGCGAACAGCCGGCGCGTGAAGCTCATGCGATATAAACATTCGCCTCCCAATCGTTCGAACCCGTTACGCTGCAGTATTAATTAACATTACGTTTGTGAATACCACAAGGGACTTTAAAGAAATCGCGGAAGTTCGGATTTGTAAGTTACAACTCTCTAATTTGCCCCAGTTCGGCTGGAGGTAAATATAATATTTAAAACTTAAAAAAAAACACTTGCCTTAGTCAAAGGTTACGAAGGAAAACTTAAAATCCTATGTATTCTAATAAAAAAAATTGTTGTGGGTGGGGGTGGGAATGCGGAAGGGAAAGAAAGTGTTCTCACCTTGCTAACGTTCTATGTTTTCCTCTATCACCCACCAAAACTTTTGCTAGCTTTGAAAAGAAAATGACTGCCCAAAGAACTTTTTTTTTTTTTAGTGCTGCAAGTTTTTTTGTTTTTTTTTGTACAAATATTTACTACCTGGACGAATTTATGCGGCGAATTAATGTCGTAGCTTACAAATTCGGCTTTTACGCGCTTGATGAAAAAAGAACGAAAAAACAGACGTCTACAGCTTGACACACGTCTGTTCGGTTGTCGCGGAACGCGCCGGAGAGCCTCAAAGTTTCGTGTCTGGGACTGACCCGCCGCGCGAAAGCGCCAGCACTGTACGTCACTGGCAGCGCGGCGCAGAGCAACGCCGCTCCATCCACGGAGCCCCGATGACAATTTAGGCCTAGCGACGAGTGCGGGAGACCGCACGCACGCCGACAGTTGCCGAGTACGGCACCGAACGAGTTCACTCGTTTTCTAGTCGCTAGCTTTTGGGTATACAAGCAACGAGTACGGCACGGCATAGCGCACGTGCGGCGGCGGCCGCCGAGTACGCCACCGAACGAGTTGACGGGTTTTCCAGTCGCTAGCTTTTGGGTATACGCACTAACTCTTGCTACATATGCTGGATAACTACCACGTATACAGAATTAAAACAAAGTCAGCTTACCTTCTATCTTTAGACGGCTAGCGCAACAGAAGTAGGTGCCGCTTGGACTGCGTACTGTGCGTACTCGCTGAACGAGAACGATCTTGGCGTCACGTCCACATAGCGGCTGATTTCCAGTGTTGCCGGAACCTCGAGCGGCTAGTTTTGGTTTTGTCGGCCGCGCCCCAAACAAAACTTTGAGACGTCGATATCTTTAAAACTTCGCACAATAACGAGAAAAAAATTACACCTTGCAATTCAGGGGCGCTAACTGCACTAAAAACAGCCATAATCCCAATATCGAAAGTATGGACCGGAGTTGCCCTCACCTTAGCATGAACCGCATGAACTAATCGCGAATGCTGTGCTAGCGCGAGCGGCTAGCCTTGACTGCCTTGTTTGGAGCACTCGCTGCATGAGCGCTCGTGCAGCCGCTGAGGCTTCATTCGAAGCAACTATCTCGCGCTTTTAGCACGCGCGGCTAACAATAGTCCATACTAACGTGAGACGAAGTATAGCGCTTCAGAAGCGCTTTGTTAGCACTCTGTTAGCGCTACAGAAGCGCTTGGTTAGCGCTCTCACGCTCCTTGTGCCATGCTTGCTGCTGCGGAACAGCGCGTGCACGGCGATTCCTTTGTTGTTGTTTTTCCTTTGGCATTAAAAGAAGAGGAAGTAAAACAGCCGCTCTACAAAACAAGGGTCTGGCAGGCGATCCAGAGTCATGGACTCTGAGCGACCAATTGATTGGGTACGACCTCATTGCTTTCTATTCGGTATGAATGACCCTGGTTTCAAAGACACGCAGTTAAAAATAACCGCCTTCAAAAGAGCTCTGTGTCTCGGTCCCTCAGCCTAGGAACAAGGTTCACCAGGTACCCGTCGGTATCTCGGTAGCGAAAGATTTCGCGCACCCAGAAGGCTCTTCTGTGCATTAAGCCGTCTACACACATATGCACTAATCGCGTATGTAAGAGCATTTGTCGCATTTCTATTTCAGCATACCACATGTCCGCCATGGTGCTGCTGAAGCACACCCAACCACAGAAACCGGAACAGCAGTGCACGCGCTAATCCGCAGCACCGCGGTACAAGAAGCGCTACTGAAGCGCTAACAAGGCGCTATACTGGAGCGCTAACAAGGCGCTACTGAAGCGCTAAGCGCGCGCTATGTTAGAACTAAGCCACGCGCTAGAAAGCGCCACATGAGCGCTTCTTGGAGCGCTCACGTAGCGCTAACTTAGCGCTCCGCTGTATGTGTGAACAGGCCTTAAGTCAAAATTCTACGTATTATTTTCATAGCGCGGTTTCTGAATCAATAGAACAAAGGCAAACTTTTACGATAAATTTTGCGAGCCTCGTTGCCTTTTCGCGAATTATCGGAATTGTGTTTGCCTTTAATAATGACTCCTTTTAAAACCGCAATTGCATCATGGCCAATTAAGCCGTTAATAAACAAGTCAACTAACAGATTTTGGTTAATTATTAAACATTGCAAACGGTTATTCACCCATTTATTGGCCACCGAGCCCTACAGACAGAGCTGGCAGTAATGTAATTACTATAATGAAATTACAGTAATTTAATTACTTGTTCCAGTAATTAGTAATGTAATTCATTACTTTTTGTAGCAGGTAATTTAGTAATGTAATGAATTACTCCAGCGACGGTAATTGTAATTAAATTACCTAATTACTTTTTCGCACCAGGCCTATTTTTTGTGTCCAGAATACACAAGAGCACTTTTCTTTTTATTTTACTTTTTCTTTTTCCTCTACACCTTTCCAAAAAACGCTCTTTGGCCGCCGCAATGTTGCTGATGCTAATGCGGCTGGTGCGACTCTCGCGCCCGCTATCAGCTACACATTTTCTGCCACTCTCTTGAACTGTGAAAACCCGCTCAGCGCGATTCTCTACCTATGTTTTGCGGTTTTGCATTCGACGTTTTGTGGCCTTTCTTGAAAGTTTCCACTTACTTTTTCTGATGCATGCTGCGTACCCTCTCTGTGTTATCTTCCACTGTGAGAAATAGGGCTGGTAAGTGCCTGCCATTCGAGCTTTTCTGCTCGACATTCTCGGGAAACGAAGGAGGGGAAGTAGGTCGAACTAAGGCCCCTGGTGGAACGGCCCTCGACGCGATTTTGCGAACAATGACAATTGTTCTCCCCCATCCCAGAGATAATCCGCGTAGGGTCCTCAGTCATCTTCAAAAATAGTTGTCCGGGTTGGGGTGGGAAACGGATCAGTCGCGTGCGTTCCTCTGTCCATCGGTAAACATGTTATTTGTGAGCCTGAAAAATGCATGCCTTTCGGCTATCTTCTGTTGTTAATTATTTTCGACAGCTAAACGCTTTGTCGTTTGACACGCGGTTAATCGAACGGCGCCGTCAAAACTTACCGTAAAAAAAATACAACAACAACAACTAACATTCCAGTCGCATTCATTCTGTCGCGCGCGTACCCAACAAAAAAAGTTTACGCTTTTTCTTAAAATGTGGTACAATGCTTCCCAACGTCCTCAAGAAAATACATGCACCATGAAACACAAAATGCAGTGGGAAAACACGAG